AATATTTTTTTGGAAAATTTTATTGAAATAGTCATTATTATAGATACAGAGGCCGAATCTATAGTTTTCATAATCTTTGTAACCTGTGTTCTGTACAGATTTTGATGTTTGGTATGATGATAACTGGTTATCCGGGTCAACATATAGGTTACTTTTTACTTCGGGAAAATATCTCTGAAAAATCTGTACTAAACTTTTGAACGTAACGTATTTCCATTAAACCTTGCAAGAAGTACTCAGGCCTTAGTAATTTGATAAGCAATAGCTTATGACAGATTACTTTATTTATTCAATAACAAAAGCCAAATACTATTTTTTATAATTTCTTACAAGAAATAATATAGTTAAGTTTAATTAAGAAATAATGTAGTTAAGTTATTGTTAATTTCATAAAGTTATTGGCAGTGACAGGTCACTTAATGTTATTAAATAACAAAAACCAAATGCTATTTATATTTATAATCGTTTACAAGAAGTGCCTACTTAAGTAGAGCTTTGTTAAATTGATATAGTTTTGTCAGTAGTAGGCTAAATAATGTTATTTAATATTACGTCTATGTAAATTAAAATGAATCACCGAAATGTATGTACACGCATAACTTCCAATTGGCTGCACTAATTCTTTTTTTTTGTGTTTCTTATTATCAGGACAAGTTTTGTATAGAAGAAAATTAAAAAAAAAATCTAACATAAGATTTTGTTTAAGTTCACAAACTCGAACCCGAGCGAAGTGAGGGTGAGTCGCTAGTTACTAAATAATATTAACATTAATAACCTTAAATATTCATTTATAAACTTAAAAAGAATATTTAAGTAGAACCATGTTAATTTCATACAGATTGTATTAAATCAAGTGGGTCGTAATATTTTTTAAGAACATATAGGTACACCTAAATTTGAATTTCACTTTAAATAGTTAAATTAAAATTTATATATCTATAACTTAAATGATTCCAAGTAAAGTTTTGATTTCTAACTCAATTTATTGAATTGTAGTAAATAGGTAGGTACACCTACAATGTAAAGGTAAACATATATTTTCATTATTAATAATAGTATAAAGACGCGCCAAAATAGTCTATTAATTGTCGTTTACTTCACGTGTTTAGGACATTTAAAAAATATAATTTATAAACATTAGTAAAAGTGCTTTAAATAAAATAGAGAAACATTAAAGTTGTCCTAAAGTAACAATTTAAATAACAGAATAAACTGTTTACTCCCGACACTAGCCGTAGCCGTCGGGGAAGCCCCAGGGCTTTCGAGGGAAGTCAATATTGATTTTATCATGAAGGGTGATTAAGCACTAGACAGATTATTTGCAGTGGTAGAATTTTAAAGCAACTATTTATTTCTTTATATACTAACTAGCGACTCATCCTCGCTTCGCTCAGGTGCGTCCCTAGGTGCGTTTTAATTTTTTTGAGCGAAACCCTATTTCTTTTTCTAACATAAAAGTAACCTAAGTTAGTCCATATAACATCAGCTATCTGCCAGTGAAAGTCCTGTCAAAATCTGTCCAGCTGTTTTTGGAGATTTGCCAGAACAAATAAACGGACAGACAAACAGAAGAGACAAAAGAATTAAAAAATTAAAAAAAAGAACAAATAAAAAAATTGTGTTTTTCCTATAAGTACCGTATGACCGTATATAATTCCATATGCATTTAATAAAAAGCTGTTATTTCGACATTTTATTAGTAGGTATAGATTAAACAAATACGAATGTGATATTTTTCAATTGTGTTTAATAATTTTAATCGTAGAACATAAATCTGTTCCTTACCTATATTAGATATTATTTAAAAAATAAATATGTTACTGACTTACTTTTGCCCGTGGCACCTGTCCCGTAGATGTAACGTAAATTGATTATGTCGAATCAAATCAAATTAAAATATACCTAAGTACTTTACGCAAATAGACTTTTACAAGCTCTTTTGAATCGTCAAGTCAAATCGAAGCGCTAAAATTACGCTTTGTCATAAGCAATTAACATTATATCTAATTACATAATTAATTTCCATTAGATCTATAGCTATCTACGAGTATCTAGTGAATATAAAGAAGTGTAGGTTAACCTAGTCTATTTTTTTACTCAGTTCGACCATTCGACCATATCTCGTCTATTGAAATCGAAAAAAAAAACTAGCCTATACACGCCTTCAATAAATAATATTTTACTCCAAATTTTGATTTCGATTTAGCTTTTTACAATGAGCAATAAACAAATTTTTATTCAAACAAACAAACACAAATCACCTCATAATATTAAATATTGATATAAAAAAATGAAATATTCTTCTGATTTAATGTCAACTTGCTTGCCCAAAATATGGAGGACAATGAGTGTTCAAATAAATTAGAATTTAGAACAGTATTTATTAAAAAAAAAATAATAAAATTTTAGGCTTCATTTACCCTTGTGGCATTTTCACATTAAATATTAAACAAATACATATTTTTTTACGGATTTTTGACGTACCCTACGATTGTTACATTTTAGTTTCTCTCATTACCATGTTTGCTACAAAACGTAAAACATTAAAAAAAAACATGAAACGAATATGAAAAAATAATTTTATTACAATATCGAATTTTCGCGTAAATAAGAAAATACTTCTTATGTATTAATTATAAATAAATATTTGATAAATTCATCTCTATGTATAATATTAGATTAATCTTTTCTAAAGTAGGTTAAAATGCGCTCATAGCCTTTTGGCAGTAAATCAAGTTATTCCGTCTCTAGTTAGACATAATTGCCTTTCGACAATCAAACTCGAGTTTATTGTGTTGGTTTATTTACCTATAAGGGGAGCTATAATAGACTCACACTTAGAACTACCGATTTGCTGCATTTGAAATGGAAACGATGTATGCTTGTATTTTTTTATAATAATTTATATAGTAATTACCTGACATTATTTACAAGTAGAAATCATAGTAAAACTTAAATTGGTGGAACAGAATTTAAGACGATAAAATCACTTGTATTTGTAGGTTTATAAAAAGTACATTATGTCCTTTTCCTTCTAATTATTTACTATACAAACATGCTTTATATATTAGTATAAGTTATATACGAGTAGATATGACATATCCACTCCATTAGAAAAAAGTCTATGCAACAATAAGATAATTTAATAAGTACTGTAACGCAACAGTCCCGCCTAAATTGAGGACTTCATTGTCCGAATTCTTGAATTTGTGCCGTATTTTGAAATTCAACTACAGCAACAGATAGATAAATTTGTATTTTATTTATAAACTAGCGATTCAACATCGCTTCGCACGGGTTCGTCCCTAGTTACGTTTTAGCGTTTAGTACCTATAAATTTCTGAGAAATGAGATATTTTCCCGCAGTAAAAAGTATTCCATATATCGGATAATCAGCTATCATCATACGAAATTTCATTAAAATCTGTGTAGTGGTTTTCTCATGATACGTTCCCAGACAGAGAGACAAAAATTCTAAAAACTATAGATTCGGCCTCTGTATCAATAACTAGCAAATCATCCTCGCTTCGCTCGTATTCGTCCCTAGCTTGATTCCCCTTACAAATTTTCATCCCTATTCTCACCCTCACCCACACACCCTAAGGGATGATTTCCGGGATAAAAAGTATCCTATGTTCTTCCCAGGGTCTCAAACTATCTTCTTAACAAATTCCATCTAAATCGGTTCAATAGATCCAGAGATTACCCCTTACAACGTTACAAACTCACAAACTTAAATTCACAAACTCACAAACTTTACCTCTTTATAATATGAGATAATGACTATTTCAATAAAATTCCAAAAAAATATTTAATGTACAGATTTTTATTTTTGTATAGAGTTCTGTAAAATACTTTATTACTAAAATTCAAACAAAAAGTAGTGTTTCACATTAAAATTCCAGCTTTTACCTCCACATTTTAATTATAAATCTCCTCTCTAAAGATCACATTTCTAACACACAATATCAATTATCTACCCAAAAATTTTCTAAATCAGTCTCGAAACCATTGCAAATCGCCTTACACATTCGAATCCGGGAGCAATCTCTTAATTGATTCATCATACCACTCTAACATGCCATATATTGACCCTTGTTACGTTTACATAAGCTTACATTTGAAGTTCAAGGTATATTGGTCACAGACCCCTACTTTGGCAGTAAAAACGCTATTATGGTGAAAGGGTGCGATGCAGTTATTCTATTAGCATTATTGATATTGAATGTTTATTGATATTACTCTAGGGATACTTAAACGGTGCAAAAATTGCTTTGATTTACTTTACTTGTAGTTTTCGGAGTATATATTTTTAAATCAAACATGTATGTATGTGTATGTATGTATTCAGCCCTTTTTAACGTCCCACTGCTGGGCACGGGCCTCCCTTCAATACGAGGGGGATCAGGCCATAGTCCACCACGCTGGCCAAGTGCGGATTGGCGGACTTCACATGTCTTTCGAAAACTTGCTAAGTTCTCTCAGACATGCAGGTTTCCTCACGATGTTTTTCCTTCACCGTAAGGCAAGTGGTAATCATGTTAGAAATGAAATTAAATTCGCACATGAAAATATCAGTGGTGCGAGACCCGGGATTTGAACCCGCTTCACTCGGTTTCCCAAGCAAGCGCGTTACCACTGGGCTACCACTGCTCTTTTTTTTTTTTCTTTTTTTTTTTAATTTAGTATCAATACATTTTTTCCAGCATCTGATATCGATACATTTAAAAGTGAAATACGACTCACAGATAAGTTAATCGATTCTTGAAAATTTCAACCTCTAAAGGGGTAACAAAGGAGTTGGATGTTAGTATGAAAATTTGTTATAATTAAAGTTACAATGACCTAAATTGGAAATAATATACGATTATAAATGACCACTGTTTTAATTCAAAGTTTTAGAAAGTTATTTTTTTGGACACGGAAAGTAGCTTACCATGAAACTAGATGGTGCTGTGTGTTGATGTCTCAACAAATTTATTTATATTTATTTTTCACAGGAGAAGATAGCACATCCCCATTACGCTGGTCGCCACCTACATCGGCAGCACTGGTAGCTGCGGCGCTCGCGCCTCCAGCATTGCGACCGTGGCTACCTGATCCACCTCCAAAGAAGACTAACCACTTGGGTAAGACAGGTTGGCAGTCTTGATCAACTTTGTTGTTATATACTTAACTAGTCTATTTCGCAATAAATAATTATGGGGCATAAAAGATGCCTATGCTCGTCCCTATAAAATCTACCTGTATTTTTGTGAAAATCGTGAAAACATTTAAACACAGAGTTACTTCTATGAATTGCGTCCCTAACATGATCCAACTGTACACTTTTCATTCAAATCTGTCTAGCGTAAAAGAGATACAAACATATTCTACTCTCCCAAATATTCACAATTATGAAGGTGATGATGTTCTCCTAGCCGATTCCGGCTACGGCGGCCAATCTCATTGAGACTAGCCAACTGCGCAGGAGATATTATAGTGCACAAGTGTACGCGCAGACACAAGTCCACTCTCTATTCCTGTTACTCTCATACTCCGGTGGGACGACTGCTCGACACGACCAGTGAGAGTTAAGGTGCAGGACCGACGGCTGTACGTGCTCTCCGAGGACGGGGGTGAAACACCGCCAACTTCCTAACTCCGGGCAGTTACTGAGACTTACTATACAGAAAGACTCAATAACTAAACTTGGCCCGACCTGGGACTCGAACCCAGGACCTCCGAGTGTGCAGCCGTACATGCTAGCCACTACACCACCGAGGCAGTTAAAAGTAATCCAGTATGGAGGTATGGTGACACGGCCCTTTTGTCTTTAAAATATACATCTATTCGACGAGAACTATTTACTAGATGGACCATAAGTATTTTCTAGTATCTAAATCGCCATTTTTACAATCAATATGTTGTTTATAAGAATAATAGGCCATATCATATATGTAATTATTAAACTCCTCCATTAGGTCTAGTCTGCGTCGTTTGCGGAGACACAAGTTCTGGTAAGCACTATGGTATCCTTGCTTGCAACGGCTGTAGCGGTTTCTTCAAACGATCTGTTAGAAGAAAGCTCATTTATAGGTAAGTTTATAAAAGTAATTTATACCTATAAAATCTAAAAGAAAATATATTTCATAGTGGTTAGTATAGATATCTCAGAGATGAAATATTTTCCCGCAACAAATAGTATCCTATATGTTGACACGGATAACTAGCTTTCATCATACTAAATCAAAACATGTTCTGTAGTTTTTTCGGGATGCGTTCCCAGACAGACACACAGACAAAAATTCTAAAATTATACTATATATAGCTTCGGCCTCTGTTTATTTCAATAAGACTTTCCAAAAAATATTTAACGTACAGATTCGGCTTAGTTTACAATTTTATTATACGTATAGCTAGCTATAGATAGACTAGCGAATCACTCTCGCTTCGCTCGGGTTCATGCCTAGGTAGACAATATAAGCGCTCAATACAAATCTTTACGTTTCTGTGCTAAAATATGCATGTATTATACATTTTACCTTTCTCTTGAATCACTCTATCTACTGCTGAAAACTGAATTAAAATCCGTTGCGTAGTTTAAAAGATCTAAACGTACAAACAGCCGGAGCGACTTTGTTTTATACTATGTATAGATTCAATTTTGAGACATAACATTGAATTCTTAAAAAAATGTTGTATGAACAACTGGAAAGTGTTGCGATGAGACCCATTTAATTGATGTCACAGATACAGTATTTGCTTGTGTTTAGTAATTAAGTCACTTCGCCTCATTGTTGATGGCGTGTAGTGTTCTATTCAAGAAAATTATATAAAAATTAATACGTAATGATATTAAACTTAAACATTTTATATATTGTTCAAATATTATCACGTATACAATAAGCTGTAATAGATATTATAAGTAATTTTTAATTAATTAAAAATTACAGTAATACCTTTTCTTTTAACAAATGAAAATGTAGACAATTTGCTAAGTAAGAGAAAGTCAAAAAAATTTACTTGAAACTACATTCCTTACAAACACTGTTCTGCTATAGAAAATAATTATTTATTATGTTTTCATACCGATTAATTTACCAAAAAAATTCTATTGTTCAAAAGCTAAACGAAGAGCAAAGTTTCATTAAAGCATTAAACTAAATGAAATTCAACAGGCGTATGTACACCATAAATAAAAGCGTTAATTTCTGAAAGCAAAAATAGTTCATTTATATAGAAATCTATTTAATTTCCAAGAGAAAGTCATACATCCAGGTCACAGTTGCGACACATTTACCGGTCTATGACCGCTGGTAGAATAACACCTGTGCTAACAACCAAAAAGTAATATTTGGCGAAATATAACATGCTTGATGAATTTGGGCTACTGATTCATTGCTTTTGTTTTAAATGTGTGTCACAATTGCTCAATTTTCAACCGACTTCAAAAAGCAGGAGGTTCTCAATTCGACTGTATTTTTTTTTGTTTTTTTTTGTTTTTTTTTTATGTTTGTTACCTCAGAACTTCGTCATTTATTAACCGATTTGGACAATTTTTGTTTTGTTTGAAAGGGTATACTTCCAGATTGTCTAAGTAATTAAAGCCTACCTATTAAATACATACCTAATCAAATATTTTCGAAATCGGTGCCAGCCCATACAAAACAAAGCACACCGACTTCGAAAATATTTGATTAGGTATGTATAGTAAATGAAAACTACCAATCAGTTATTTTTTACTTTTTAGTGCTTTTGTTTGAAGTCGGTTTTTATTTTTTTGTTAAAAAGTTTTTTTGTTCTTAGAAATATGAGAAATCGTTAAACATTTTATATCTTACTAGCGATTCACCCTCGCTTTGCTCGGGTTCGTCCTTAGTCATGTTTTAACGGTTAGTATAGATTTCTCAGGGATGAGATATTTTCCCGCAGCAAAAAGCATCCTAAATGTTAATCCGGATAACCAGCTATCTACATACAAAATTTCTTGTGATGCGTTCTCAGACAGACAGATAGACAGACAAAAATTCAAAAACTATACATTCGGTCTCTATATCGATAATAATGAATATTTCAATAAGATTTTCCAAAAAAATATTAAACACAGATTCGACTCAGTTTCAGATTTTAAAATCTATAAGTAACTCGATCGATATATGTATTTTCTTACTAGCTATGTTCTAGCTGACAGATATATGTTATTAATATTTAAAATGAAACTTTAATTTTTTTTAAAGTATGGAAGTAGATTTAAATTTAAAGACGGCTTTAACCGGGCAATCAATTACGAATTATATTTACTAAGAATTGATCTTATTTAGTGTAGTACTTGCACCACATTACAAAAGAACTTAACGTAAATCATTCTTTGTGCTGGCCATCTTTTATATATAGTTCTGACAATGCATCTCTGCTCTGATCACAACTATAGCCGCAAACGACTACTACCAAAGTGTAGTTTTTTTTAAACATCCTTATAATATCAGACAGGATCTACTATATAGATATAGTGACAAAAGGTAGCCTATGTAACTTAAGAAAATTGCATGTGCTCTGGAATTGTACTCGGTAGTGTATAAAACCTTCAGAGTTTACCTTCTATGTCCAAAGTTAGTATCTTTATCTCTTTGTTACATTCTTACAGATATACGTACATATTGTTAATATTAGAGATATGTATAATGAAAGTCGTAAAAACAAAATCGTTATTCAAACAAACAGTACAAAAAAGAAAACAAATATCATAACACCCTAAAATTAATTTACAATCATCCAAAATCCTTTGATCCCCATCAAAAACCTGCCACCAAGTATGTACAGAGTCACATCTGTAAGCTCAATGACAATGGGGAGCGCGATGAGACTGGAATCCACTTAATCCATCCTACATATTTCTAACTCTTGCATCTGGGGTTTGGTGGCTTGATGATAGGCGAAGCGAGAGCTCTTTTTGATTATGTAATTAGATTTTTTAGGTATATAAGACCATTGTAGGTCAATTTCTAAAGTTACTTGTGAAGCCAATTTTCAAATATCGAAAACAAGACAAGACAAGACCAAAGACTAATTTTTGAAGGTATATTTGTAAGCTAACATAAACTTGCCAGTCGTTGCGTTGATAAATATGGAAATATTGCAATAATAAGATTCCACCAATGCGTTCAATCAATAAACGTAATAATTACAGAAGTTATTATAAATAAAATAGATATCTATAGTCAAAACTCGGAAAAACATCGTACAACATCATATTTCTATACACGAAATTGCATGAGAGCTTTTTAGTGTAATCGTAAAGAAGCTCAATCTACATATTATTATAAAGCTCGCAATATTTGAATTAAATCAACAAACAAAAATATATTTAATTCAGCGAAAGTCATAAAAAAAATTAGTTGCTCGCGTCAATTTTTTAAGAAAAAGTAAAAGACGTTGCTTTGAAATTTCATAGAAGATGCTTAAAAAAATACAAATTAAATTCAAATGAAGATATCATTATCATTTAGAACTATTTATTTTTTTACTCAAAAACAAGCATAAAAAATGTAGGGTAGATGTACAGATAACATTAAAAACAGTTTAACATTTGGCCCTCTCCGAGCCCCCTTCAATTAATGTAGCACCCGCTTTAATGTTATTAATATTGCGCCCTTATGGTCAAGTGTGACATGTGGTTCTTTATATGGAACAAATTGATTTTTTGCAATCTTTTGTGAATGGAAGCTGTTCCTTTAGTAACCAGTGAAGTATCAAATCTGTATCATTATAATTTAATTATAGAGTAGATATCAAAATAGAAAGAAGGTCTGTTAAATAGTGCAAAGTTGCATCTACTGTTTGATTTTGTTAGCTGAGAAATTCGTAAAATGTACATGGTTTCAACTTATTGCACTGATATATGGATTTACATTATTATACGTTTTGTAAGTTTAGTTCTTTTAATTAAAGATATGGAATTTAGTTATTTTAATTTATTTATTTTTAAATGCACACACAATTACAAACAGATATTAGATAAAGATGTCTGAAAAATACTTACTTTCACAGCTACTGTTTAATTTTTAAAGCATTGATTGCTTTAAATATGTATTTTAGAGCTTCTGAATCGTGTTTTGGTTGAAATACTGGTTGCTCAGTTACTAAATTGCATTTCCCCTTTTTCCACACAATAATTTTTCCAAAATAGTTGTAATTTTTTCCAAAATTGCTGATTGTTATTTTTTTAAAAGTAATATTTTTTAGAAACATATTATTCAAATTTGTTAATTGACAACTATTTTACTCTAATAAAAGTTTTTTAGTCAAAACTCCTTAAACGTAAAAGCTTGGTGTACCCCATGGCCGGGTTCTTGGTCCACTTTCCTTCAATGCGAACTTCGTTCATTTTTCCCCCCAATACCAATTGCAACAAATGTCAACCAACCTAAGCCTATTATATGACGGATTACGTATAATGAAATACCTTTAATCTTTATTAGACTTCGTCCGCAAATTCATTGAGTAGTTTTTCCTTTAAGGACTCCGTACTTTGATTGGTTTTTCTTAATGCTTTCACTGATTTCTTGTAATAGATTACTACAGTTAGTGAGTACTTATACTTATAAATTGATTGCTCACTATTCTATTTCTATAAAAGTTCATCAGTGTTAAAGAATAATCTTAAATAAATATAATATACTAGCAGAAACCACGACTTCGCTCGCGCTAAAACTACAAAGGAACTCTGTAGGTTTCATACAAATATTCTTCCCCTATTGTACTCTCTTATGGAATGAATTTCGAAAAATGCTAAAACTCATATTTATTAAATTGTATTGAAGCGCATTAATACCAAGTTTCAAGTAATTGTACAATGTATAATATACCATAAATATTTTTTTGTATTTTATTATAACGTGTTTTCCCGTGTGAATGAGATAATCTCCCGTGGAAAAAAGTAGCCTATGTCACTCTCCAGCCCCCCAAATACCTCCACACAAAAAATCATGCCAATCCGTCACTCTGTTTCGACGTGAAAGAAGGACAAACCAATAAACAAACACACTTTCACATTTATAACATTAAATAATAAATAAATATATTATAAAAATAAAACTAGGACTGGTGCCAATAAAATTAGAAAAGTCTGCGTTTCTTAAATGAATGATACCTACAAGTTATATGTATTTTAATTTTTGGTTACCGACGTTTCGAATGCTTTACAGCAATCATGGTCACGGGAGAGCTAAGGTTATAGACGTATCAAACATCTCGTATAATTATCATATTAATTAGTACAATAATAATTGCTAAATATACCAGTGTTTTCTTTCCTGCAGATGTCAAGCCGGCACCGGACGTTGCGTGGTCGACAAGGCACACAGGAATCAATGCCAAGCGTGTCGTCTCAAGAAATGTCTTGCTATGGGGATGAATAAGGATGGTAAGTAGCATACATAGTGCTTGAACTTGTGTAAGTACATACATACATACATATTGCTTAATTTAATATAAGGTCTACGATGTAGAGCACTGTTTGTTTTTTGAATTAGATACAAGTTTGTTACGTTCAAGATACTGGTGACGTATATAAAAACAATTAGTTCAAAGTGCATCAAGTTTTTTTTTCTTAAGAATCTATTCAAATTATACTAGCGACTTATCCTGACTCCACTCGGGTCTCTTTGTGTCACTCTAGCTCTATCGGTGTACTAATTTTCATCTAAATCAGTCCAGCCGTTTTAGCGCAAAGTAGTAACAAACCTATAAACATACACAGTTTCGAATTTATAATAGTAGCCCGAAAAAATCCTTATAAGCATTTATTTATATATAAAAATCAACTTACATTTATTTAACAGTAAACAAGTTAATAATAACAAAAATCTCAAATTAGCATACAATTATTCTGACTCTAACAACAACTGGTATAAAGCAAATAAGTCGTCATTCCCACGACTACATCACGTCATAACCTATCAAAACACGTTCAAATCTGCGCTCAACACCCCGTTGCACGCAAAATCAATTAGGCAAGAGATATTGCTACAGACAACCGGACAACCCCTCGCCATACATTATAATTGATTCAATATGATAGATATTGTGCGATTCTGTGAATTTCATTAGAGCATCAAATATTTGTCTTTTAACTAAAAGGGAGGAAAAAATATCTTTGAAGTAATTTTGAAGTCAACGTATGACTTCAAAATTACTTTAAAGATATTTTTTCCTAACTTTTCTATAAAACTAAGCTCTACCTGAGCTAAGCTTATTCTTTAAAAAATGTCCTACAAATGTATTATCTCCCAAATTGATTACCTCCTTTTTTGAAGTCGGAAAGAGATTCTTTCAATCTAGTCTATATAATCAACTTTCGTTTTGATAAAAAGGTGTAAATTTTAAATAAAACTATCTTTTCGGATTTTTTCTGCGATTTATTTTAAATTTTGGTTTCGAATGCTTTTCAGCACTCATGGTCACGGGAGAGACTAAGGTTTTAGATGTTTTGATAGCATTATACTTTTTACGTTTTTTTTAAATATAACATTAGTTAGTTTAATTTAACTCAATAAAATGTACATTGTACAAGTCTTGTGATTTGTCTAAAGACTTTACTTCAGCTTAAATAGTTTCTAAGTTGCCATTAACTAATAATTTATGACAATCTTCAAAATACACCCCTTTTTTATAAAAAAACCCTTTTCCAAAAGAAATAATGAATCAGTTCCAAAATTTCCTCACTCTTCTCTCCCTCTCAAGTGAACCTAACAACTTTATAAACATGCCCATTTAAATTATTACACTAAAATCATCCATCCAAACTAAACTAACAATCGTATGCGCGACTTAACCCGACATTTTAAACATTTAGGTCCCTAAGCTCTAATTTGTATACGCGCGGTGATGGCACGTGGCGACGCGTGCTGGAATATGTATTTTTATACACCCTTGTTGTTTTTTAAAGTTTTTTTTGTTAATATTTACTTAGATGTGTTCTTCTTAATATTTCAATTGCTGTAACGTTGTTACGTGAAAAATGGTTGACTCTACATTAAAAAATATTATAAGACCAGCTCATATTACGGAAGTTCTCAAAAAGGACCATATTTTCTGATTTTATACAAAATATCATCATGCCAGAATTATATTTTCTCATTTCTCAATATATTTCGGCGTGTGTAGACATTTAGCATAAGAATTTCAATCATATCCAAATTTTAGTAAATTTGAGTTTTAGTTCCCGACGCGATGTTTCGAATGCTTTTCAGCAATCATGGCCAGGGGAGAGACCATGTATCAAATCAAAATAAATTCGCGAAAAAATCCGAAAAGATAGTTTTATAAAAAAAAAGCTGTTTTTTATATTTTGTGGGTAGGTTGTATAAAACCTTAGTTTCTCCCGTGACCATGATTGTTGTAAAGCATTCGAAACGTCGAAAACGAAAAATCAAAATAAATCCGCTAAAAAATGCGAAAAGTTTTATATAATATACTTAGTCACTTTAAAAGATTTAAGTAAATAGGAGGTATTTACTCGCAGTTGTATTTTATATCATACTATGAATTACATATTATAAAATGTTAAAAGATGATGTTGATGATGATGACTTCATGTTACTGATGTAGTATTGTGTCATATGTGGTAACATAGAAAATATGTAAAATATATAATTTTATTATGTACTTCGTGTCGTCAGTTAAAATTTCATGGCATAAAAAAGCCATAAAAGCCAATATAAAAAAAATCAAAACCTTAAGACTAAAACTTGTACTAGGTATTATGTAATCAAATCATAATAATTTGAGCAATTGCACATACAAATGATAATAATGAAACAAAATATCCATTTGTCAGTAATTTAACATTAATTAATTATAACGAGTGCGGTTCTAACACGATTCAGTATCTAAATTAATAGGCGTGTGGTCAAACGTCCCTGTGGGGGTGCTCATTTGAATGTAACGCTTCAGGCATTGCTTTGTAGTTTTTGTGTAATTATTTATGCGAATGTGGTCGTCATTAGGAAGGAGGCGTGACTTATTAAATACGGCTTAAGGCTAGTTGTTTAGTGCTTTTAGTTAATGGTTTAGTTGAACAAGTCACACGGTTATGTAATGGGAAGTTGTAAACGTTGTAAAGGGTTACTACAAATTATAGTGCTACAATTTTTATAATTTATTTTTACTAGAAAAATAAAAACAATTCCGTGCATTTTTCTGGTATAAAAAGTAGCTTATGTCATATTCCAGACTATAATCTATGTCTGTGCCAAATTTCGTCCAGATCCGTGCAGCCGTTCTAGCGTTAATGAGTAACAAACATCCATCCAAACATCTAAAGTATCACATTTATAATATTAGTAAGATTTTTAGTACTTTCTATTCTATGTCTCCTTCACTCTTTTTTCTGCCTCTTCCATCTTTGAAAAGCTCATGCTCATATAATAATTATTATAAAACGCTCAAAATATCATTAAAACAAAAAAAAAGCACTATCTTTTTTTCTAAAACAGATAGTGAACTTTCTAAAATATATTACAAAAGGTAAGACTAAATAACAAAGACGCCGTAGAGGTGAACTTGTTAAATTAAAAGCACTGTTAATGAATACGAGGCGTTTGACAAGCGCGGCGTCGGAACCCGCGTAATGAGATTGTCGCGACATCTCAAAGTAACCGAATTACTTTACACAGACAGCCGAGAGCAAAATAATGCAAAGCTTAAAGCAATAAAGTCCTTTCTGAATTGTAGAGTTAGAAATGTTTTAGACATGCCATGTAATACTACTTACCTTTAATAATTTACTTACTAAATAATATAATTTATACGAAATATGGTTATTTTGCAGTTATGTTAGTTTGCAGTCCTTTCACGTATCATAGTGACATGATTTTTTTTAAAAGATATATAAAGCGGAGAGTGCCATAGAGTTCTTTTTATCGTGGTTTATTAAGTAGTTTCCATGGAATTTTGGCACTAGTTAATAATAAGAAATCCTTAAATATTAACATTTAATATGCAATTGTTTAGTAGAAAAGAGTTTTTGACTATTTTCTAAGCTGTGGGTATTATTGGGTGAATTATTAATAGTTTATCTATTTAAGGAAAAGGTAAATTCAAAGTTTGTATTGTTATATGAAAATTACTATAATATTTGCAGAAATTGATAAAATCGACAAAAAAATATTTTTCATCCCATTTCATTAATATAGGTACAAACTAATTTCAATAATTTCACTAATTTATTTTTTGCCACTTCTATCTTCGTTATAAGTCTACCTCAGGGGTCGCTCCGGGGTGTCCTCCGCTTTCATTATACTGAATCTTTTTGTCAGTTTCTTTCACGTTAAATTGGATCAATGTTGCATTGTTCGAGTTATGGTAATTGAATGGAGTTTGATTGGGAATGTTGGCTTACTTTAAAATATATTTATTTTCTTTATGCTTTATACATTTTTTTTTAATATTTTTTTACTTAGCATATTATGTACATTCATTTCTGTAGAAAAAGGAGAGATTGTAGTGAATCACTTTGTTCTCCATTATTATCAAATATTTTATCTGGTAGATATTACAATAGGGAATATAATATTCTGAAACTTGAATTTATTAAGTCACTAATAACTAAGTACTTCTTTATATACCTAAACGTACTATATTTGTTAGAGCTTAAATCAAAAGCTTTTTCGATAGAAATTACTGATGAAGACACGAGTTTATTTATGACTTCTAATTTCTTTGAGCCAGATTTTAACCTAAAATCACTTACAGAAGTGAATATCTTAGAATTCATTTATAAAATGAAATGCTAATGGAGTGACTTTGGATTTTAATCCGCATCGTTTTGTAAATGTACAACCAAGAGCGGGAATATCGTGAACAAAAATGTTTGATAAAAGTTGAAAACATTTTAAAATATACATTACTAGCAGAACCCGCGGGTTCGCTCATGCTAAAATTACAAAAGAAAACTAAAAAGGTAGGTTTCATACAAACTATTATTTTTATTTTACTCCCTTATGGGATAAATGTTGAAAATGTGCTAAAACACGTATTTATTTAATTGTATTGAAGAGCATTGATACCAAGTTTTAAGTAATTGCAAAAAAATATTACTTTCTTAGATTTACGCGAATATTTGGCATTTGAGATAAAACTATATCTATACTTATTATAAAAATAAGTCCCCCGGCCGCGTCTTTCTGTCCTCCTGTCTGTCCTCCTGTCTGTCTGTACGCGATAAACTCGAAAACTACTGAACGGATTTTTATACGGTTTTCAACAATAGAAAGAGTAATTCTTGAGGAAGGTTTAGGTATATAATTTATTATGCTTTTATGTAAATTAGCTGAAATACGGCGACAAATGTTGAAGAGGTCGCAAAAAATCTCGCCAAATGGGAACTTTCCACGCGAACGCCGCGTAAACTAGCAAAGATAC